GCTGCCTGCAGTGGTGGGAGTGGGTGCTGAGCCTGCTTCCTGATAGTGAGGAGAGATCCATCCCAGGCCAGGCTGGAGTGGGAGGAGAAGGCAGTGCCTGCTTTCTGCTTGCATATCCATGGTTGGTGGGGGGAAACGGGATCCTTTGGGGTCTCTCAAGCCCTTCCACCTCCCACCACTGCACGCGAGCCTCTTAAGGGATGTCCTTTCCAGAGCTGCTGGAGAGCCCTATTCCTTGGGCCTGGGCTGGGAGGCAGGTGCCCTGCTCGGCATGGGAGCCCCATTGCTGGAGAAGCTGCTCCCGCGACCAGGTACCTCTTTGCTCTGTGGCACCAGACACGGACACTGCCCAGGCACCAGGCAGGCTGTGCAGCAGGGCTGGCAGGAACAGCAGCGTGAAAGCTGCAGCAGAGCTGACCCTGAGATGGCCTGGCCCCAGGAAAGGCAGCAATGTGGCCACTCAGTGACACAAGCCAGTGACCTCCTCCCACTCCATCTGTCCCAGGCCTGGTGGCCAGCCTGCAGCTGGTGGGAGGAGGTACCCCAAAAAGCCACATGGCCTGAAGCTGACATGGTGGCAGACAGCTTACAGCCACAGGGTGAGACACTGGGAAACTGGACGCTCCCAGGTTGCTGCAGTGCAGTGCGCTCATCAGGACCGCCTGGGCCACTAGGGACACCTCCAAACTGGGGAGGGTGTCAGAACCCCCCAGCCCCTGGGCCCCAGCCCTCTGTGCAGGGGCTGCTCTGCACCACTCATTCATGACATGTTGTGAGCATGGGATGGAGCCACACTTCAATGGGGCTGGTCCCCATCCTCACTCCAGCACCACTCACACAGCCCGCCTTTCAGCTGGTGTCACTGGGTTCATGGTGGAGCAGGCACACATTGTGTGTCCCTGTTCCCTGGGCATGCAGTCCTAGGGCCTGCTGCTGCAGCCCTGGGCCCTGGATGCTTATGGTTGCTGTGACCTACACACAGATACGGGTGCAGAGTGAGGGCTGGGAACAGGGCATGTGGGGCACCACGGCAGCCCCAAATACACAGTCAGCCTGGGCGTGAGCATGTTTCTTGTGTCAGGGAGGACACCCAGCCATCTGAGAAGGGGACCTGGGGAAGTTTCCTTCCTATCATACTTTTCCTAGACCCACGCTGTATCCTCAGCCCGAAGCATGTCAGCACCATGGCTGCAATCCCAGCCCCAAATGTTTTATCACAGCAGCCAAAGCCCATCACATTTGCCCACTCCCTCCCCATTTCCCACTAAACCACCTGTGACTGCAGCTCCATCTCTGTCATTGTCTCAGCCTTAAACGTCCCCCTTTGTGCTGCAGGTCGCAGCCCAGCCTGCACTGTGGGTGTCCTCACGCTGTGGGCACAGTGCTGCACCCTGGTCCCCACAATGCACATGCCACAAGCTCTGGGACCTGCCTTGGGCACAGGGCAGCAACATAGGACAGGGATCTGCAGCAGCAATGGTGGCATCAAGGGGGCTACAGGGCCATGCCTGCACTGCCTGGGAACCACAGAGGACCCAAGGTGGCTCTGGGAGGGGAGGATGGGTTCTGCCTCACACAGGGACAGCCCACGGAGGCTCTTGGGGTGGGCACCCCTCGTCCCTTCTTTCCTCGCTGGGCCGTGCTGCTGATGGGCACTGTGGGGAGCACACTGAGGGTGCCATGTGCTCCCAGAGCCCTGTGCAGGCCAGGCTAGACAAGCAGCCCTGCCTCCCCCTGCATGTTTGGGACAGGGGAACACAGACACGTCAGCCCCCTGCACGCCACATAGAAGGGTCAGACACATGGCAGCCCCACTTTGGTCTGGGGGGACACAGCCATGGGCTGCTGAGCCCAGACAGGAGCCGAGCCTCCAGTTATTTATTTTTACACATTGTACTACAATTCCTGTTTTCTACTTTGTTTGTACCTTTTGTATCATGTCTCGCTGAGCTGCATGTATTGGGCGCTGCTCATCGGCCTGCACACTGGGCCGTTCCAGGACAGCCTGGACCCAAGTGCCAACTTCTCAAAGAAATGCCTTAATAAACCACACTTGTTTGTACAGAGATGGACATCATCACTGCTGCTCTGGGCTGGCACCATGGCCCCGCTGGGTGCCAGGGAGAAGCACCAGCAGGGCTGGCAGGTGGGAGACAGACCTAAAGCACAGTGGCGCTCAGCATGTGGCTTGGCTGCTGGCAAAATGCCATGGGTCACAGGCACCCGGGCAGGACCTGTACCCTGCACTTGGCTCTGGGCAGCTCCTTGGGTGGGAGAGCTGGGACTAGCTGGTGCATGTGGGCTGTGCTGTGACCACTTCTGGCCCCTGGAGCAGATGCTGCCAGCTCCAGGGCAGCCCTGCTGCCTGGCCACAGCTGTCTGCCTCCTGGCCTTAACAACAGGTCAGGCCAGCACATGAGATGCAGGTATTTCAGTCTTTAGTACAGCAGAGGAAATCAAGAGCCTGAGCACAGCACTGGCCTGGCCTGGGCGCGCCTGGCTCCTCCAGTGGTGCATGGTGTGGCTGCACATGTCCCGGCATTGCTGCACACACAGCCCTGGCTTGGCAGTTGTCCTGACTAGGCCACGACCCCCCACGTGCATGACTACATCACGCAAGTCCCTTCTATAAGAAGCTGTCAAATCCAGCAAGTGAGGCCAACACATTGCCATGGCCTGAGGTCTAACCAGTAGTGAGGTTAAGCATGTTTTGCCAGCAGGCATACGCACAAACACAGGTGTACAAGACACGTCTACATGTGTGTAGACAGCTGGCCACACAGAACAACACAGACAGACACAAACAGCACCAACAGCCTCATCCTGCTCCCCACGCTGGCTGATGAAGGTCTGTTAGCAGGAATATACATGTACAATGTGGAGCTCTTGAGTAGCTGGGCTTAGACACACAGTCTGCCCAGTAGGTGACTCTGGATTCCCAGCCTCCCCAGTTGCTGACAGCTGGACATACAAGTCCCTGAGCCCCACTCCAGTTGCCACAGACCCCCCTATTACAGACACCAACACGTGCAGAGACACACATGTTATGGATCCCTGCAGTAAATGGGCCTAGAATATCAGTCTACCCAGTAGCTTGCTTTTGGACCTCCTCACCCCCTGTTGCGTAACACACAGACACAGACATACAGAGACACACAAGTGGTTCTCAGCTGATCTCCAGACGCTACGGTCTCTCTGGCAGTTTCTTAGGTCTCCACCAATCCCTCTGGCAGCCTTCTCCACTGTGGTCCCGACACACACACGTGCGCGCACACACCCTTCCTCACTCCCCTCCCTCACAGGACACTTCACCTACTCGCTGCCTAGTCCGGATGGCTATTTGCTAGCAAGGGCACACTATACTCACACACCTGTACTCACTCTCTCCAGTTGCTGGCACCATGTGCACACTGGCCCTGTGACCTGACTCCACACACATCTGACACACACACGTGCACACAGAATGAAGTCCCCCTGACCCAGGAAAATAATTAGAAATTGAGCTTAAGTAGAAGACGGGACAGGCTGTGCAGTCATCAGATGCAGGACATGGCCAGACAAATGTAGTGACCATCAATCCATTTACACATGACCAGCCACTTTTATCCCTTTGTCCCTGTTTTCACATTTTTTGTTCCTCCCCAAACCACCTTGATCCCTCTCTTTCCTCACCTTTTAGCTCGTCTGCTAAATATCCCATAATAAGTCTTGTGCAATCCTAAAATGCTCTACATTTTCCCTCCCATAACGTGGCCCATGCGCCTAGGAAGTGCCCCTTCAGTCTGTAGCATGACCGGGAGAGCAGCTCCCACTCACTCATTCTGATGGGTGCGACCCTCAGACCATGGGGCTGATCATGAGCCAGTGACAGCCTGGGCGGAGATGAGGAAGGGTTCTCTGGGGAGAACCCTGGGCAGAGCTGCGGAACCCCTTCTCTGACTGGGTTGTTGGGGTTCCTCTGCCTTCCACTGTGTGCTACTTTATCACATAATCTAACACATTCCAGCTCCCTGGCCAGGGGGTCTTTGGCCAGCAGGAAGAACCTTGGTGTTACTGTTCTCCCCTGGCATTGCTGACCTTGGGTAATCCTGACTGTCCAGAGGAAGGGGCACACTTGCCTCCATCT